GTATAAAAAACTTGATTTTCTCTCTCTCCAAGTGTTGTATGATCTGAAAGAAGAATGTCAGTGCGCAAGTGGTGGGGGATTGTATTATCTGCATTTTGACATACATATCATATAATGGGATCCATATATGGTCGCGCGGTGCAAACCTCTAACTAAAGACCACCTGCCACTAAAGACCACTTTTCCGGGCACCAAGGGGTGGTCGTTAGTTACAGGTTTTACTGTACATTGCATTGTTTAAGGATACGCTGCACCGTTGACCGTCCTTGCGGTACCCAATATGCAATACGAAGTAACATCAGTGTATGACTCGCACCGCCATGCATTAGCCGTTTGTGACATTCTTCAATTAGCAAAGTTGTGATTATTCCGTATTTGGGTATTAGGACTGGGAATTTAGACCGTAGCGGTATAATTATTTGCATTTTCCAACCCTTCTTTGCACCGCATTATTTCGTTTTCATCCATAAACAGGCCGAGTTTGTTGGCTAGATCATTTCGCTTTCCTTTCTGAATTAACTTGAGCGTGTCTGGAAATTCCGTACGTTGCAAATGTCGTAGCCAAACCATTGTCGCATTCTTGAGCTCTTTTGATATAAGAAACCCATTACATTTATTACCACGCATACGTTCTATAGCTCTCAAAACATATGCTGAGACACGTATCAGTTTTCCCCAAGACGAATACCTTTCCAAATTCATTATCATTGGGTACTCCGTAGGACCCTCCGCCACCAGTAAGGTGTTGGCAGACTTCTCCAACTCCACGGTGTTCGCAGGAATCACCAACACCGATGGCCAACCTTGCTCATTGTTAATCCACTGGGGCCCGTGCCACCAGTTCTTGTTATTTTTCAGTGTGTCCACAGTGGCCCCGCGAGAAGGAGTGTCTGCAGGGTTTTCAGCTTTGTCCACATACCGGTACTCAACCGACGACAGAGACCGGATTTCATTCAAGCGTCGGTCCACAAATGTACCGTGTTTTTCAGGTTTCTTGATCCAATGTAACACACATTGCGAATCAGACCACAGCACCAGTCTGGGTTGTTCCGAGAAATTCAATTGTGAGAGTACAAATCGTAACGACCGAATACCGATCAAGGCCGCCATTAATTCTAGTCTTGGTATTGTTAATTCCTTGATGGGGGCTAGGCGGGTTTTACTGAACACAAGATGACAAGAGTCATAACCTGACTGCTCGTCGACAACCGCAAGGTACACACACGCTGCATATGCTGTGTGAGAGGCATCACAAAAACAGTGAAGTGTGTATGTGACTGCTCCGGTGTGTGCGACTGTCATCCGTCTCAGAATTAGAATTTTGTGGGTCTGCTTTAGATCACCTGTGACTTCGTTCCATTTATTTAGAATTTCTGTTGGGAGGATGTCGTCCCAGTCGCATTTCAATTTCCACAGGTTTTGAATCAGGATTTTTGGTTGCAACAGTATTGGAGATAGCAGGCCCATTGGGTCAAAGAACTTTGAGACGACCTGCAACATTTGGCGTTTGGTCCGAACGATCACGTGCTCAACGTCATGACCGACCAACGAAATCTGATCGGTGGGTGTACACCACTGAATACCAAGTACTGTCATGACCGTTTCAGAAACTTTGTCAACTTCTGGAATGTGAGAGAGGAAGTCGGAATGGTTCGAAGCCCATTCACGAAGGTTCATGGACGCCTGAGTAAATACTTGCTTTGTTTGATCATAAATTCGTTTGGCTTCATCTATTGTATTGGCTCCAACAATAACATTATCGACATATGTGTTGCCGAGAATCATCTTCGCAATCTCATTGTCTGTTCATTTTAAGTGCGTGTTGATAGTGGCACTCAGCAGGAATGGGCTGGAGATTACCCCGAACGGTATCCTGCAAAACCGATATGTGACAAGATTGTACTTGGTGCAAGGCCCATTCAAGTCATCCCACCACAGGAACCGCGTTGTGTCTCGGTCTGCCTCTGCGAGGCCAACTTGCAGAAAGGCTTTCTCGATATCGCTAACACTAGCAATATCATGCATTCGGAATCGAAGTAGCAGACCAGCTAAGTCTGGAAGAAAGACCGGCCCTCTGAGCAGAAATTCTTTGAGGCTTTTTTGCTCCTTGCTGGATTTGGCGGAGGCATCGTACACGATGCGGACTTTCGTTGTGGTTTTACCCGGTTTGATTACACAGTGATGTGGCAAGTAATGTGCCCGTTGCGCAGTCCCGTCTGGACCGGCATTGGAGACCCGTTCGATTATGCCCATCTTTTCCTGATTTCTGATTGTTTCATCGTATTTGATTTTTGAACTGTGGCTTGCCTGCCATTTGTTTCATGAGAGACTGCAGGCGACCGAAAGCCAGAGCGAAATTGCGTGGTGGTTCCGTAGCGTCTGGCTTCCGTGGCCACTTGACCTCATACCGCCCATTTTTGAAGTCGACGCTGTTGTCGAAAATCTCCATTGCTTGCTCATCTTGAGATTTATCCTCCAGGGGATCTTCAATGCCAATTGATTCGGTTTTCCAGAAATTTTCGATGGCAAATTCTGGCATTCTCGTTTCGGGTAACCGTATGCCCGAAACCAACATTACGGGCGCTTCATGATCTTGGCTTTCCATCAGGATTCTTCCCGAGGGGATAAAACCAATTTTAGAGTCTAGGAGCATAAGCCGTCGTCGAGGCGAATGTGCTCATTGCCCATTACGTCAAAGTAGTAGTCATTGCCGACCAGTAAATCAATGGTTACATCTTCTGCATGCTGACTGAGCGAGTCCGCCAAATGTACACGATTTAGCATTGGGTATTTCTCAGGGTCGATCGGGTATTTTCTGACCGGACAGGAGATGATTTGCACAACATTGACCGTGAGGGTTTGTGAGGACCCATCCAAAAACTGTACTTGAATTTCAACCACATTGAGCTGTTGCGATTTGCGCTTACTGTCACCAAACCCCGCCAGGGACAACGTTTCCCGACCTGTGGATTTCAGATTGAGTTCTTTTACCATTTTCTTGGTAATGAAAGAACGACTGCACCCTGTGTCGAACATTAATCTTGCATTCTGTGATTCGTTGCCATGGCGATTCGCAATCACTGTCGTACCACACTGCATTATTACATGTTCTCCTGCGGAGAGCATAGCACTGCTGGCAGGAATAAATTCCTCTGCATTAACACTAAGTGCTGCCGTTGTGTTTTGCCCTGGGCTCTTTGCTCTGTCTGATTGTCTTGATGGGTTGTCCGTCGTGTTCGAAAACAGTGTGGGACAAATGCTGCGATGGTGTGTTTTTCTCTTGCAATGGAAGCAAGCCCATGGGTCTTTGCATTGGCGGGCACTGTGACCATCCTGCAAGCAGATAAAACATCTGCTACCGATTTCCGTTTTTCTTTCGTGAAGACCATTAAACTTTTTGCAAGTATCCGAGAAATGGGGACCCTTACAGTACCAACATTTTGGGTTTCCTTTTGCGTGGGCAAAGTGTTTCTCCAGATGCCCGGAACGCACTGGATGGCGAGACTGGCGGTCTGAAGCATTCTGCTGATTCTGATTTGGCATCGAGTTTTGTTGTTTGTGGTTCCACCCTTTCTCGTGCCCGGATGTATTGACCTAGAGCCTTTCGTAGTTCTGCAACTGTCCATTCCCCCGTTTTGGTATGGAGAGTTCGAGTTGCAGCATGGTACTCTCAGGCAGCTTCCGTTTGATTAGAGACACAAATATGTCTTGGTTTACATCCTGAGCAATTGCCGTCAGGCTACGCATGTGTGATTCGATGCCGTCATACAACTTGCGCAAAGATTGTGTTTGATGGGTTGCACCGGGTAAGTCAACTACTGCCACGTAATGCGCGTCAACTTGTGATTGCTTATCGCCAAAATGGTCATCCAATATTGTAAGTGCCACTGCATAGTTGGCATCGCTCACCTCAAGCCCAGATATGGCACTCAGGGCTTTGTCTTTAACCGTTTCCTTCAGGTAAGTTAGCTTTTGAACATTTGACAACACCTTGTTTTCATGAATGGTGGACTGGAAGGTGTCCCAGAATTCTTTGAATTTTACTGGATCACCCCCGTATTTTTTCAGTTGTAATTTTGGTAGCTCCACGGTTTTTAGGGCAGAGGCATACTGACCGCCCTTGACACACTTACTTAGCAATTCCTGCGTTGATTTTTGGGTTTCCGTGTGGCTGGCAAGCAACTTTGTAATTTCTGCGATGGCTGGGGTGTCCACCGGCAGACTGTGGGCCGCTTCCACAGGTTCTTGCTTGATTGCTGCCGGTTGACCAGCCTCTACCATTTGCTGTTCTTTCATGTCCACCATCATGGACTTCATTTGTGCCAAACGTTTGCAGTACCTTGACTCTTCCATTAACCAATTTTCGTGTTCTTTTAAGGCCATTTTTTGTTTTTTTGCCGTCTTTGTCGACGGGATTCCATTTATACACCGCGATCCCATACCGTTCCACAAGGCTACTCAATTTGTCCACGTATTCTTTAAATTCAGTTAGGAATACTCGCAGCTTACGGTATGTTGGTGTCGACTCTGCTTTAGCGTGCGACTCGCTGTCGCTGTCATTACCGTCGTCATTGATAGCGTGGGCACTTGCCAGCCAAGCGTCGCACTGCCGTGTTTCGTCTTCGAACGCACCGATGTGCACAGCAAGCGCCCTACCAAGGGCCTTCACCGATGCCACAGCAGGTGTCATGATGGCAGGCTGCAGGGTCTATGGTCGGTGCTGGCAAGGCAGCCAATTCGAAAGGTCTAGGACTCCTTCGGGGAAGGACAGGCAGACATTGTTATAACGATACTTTAGGTGCCCGTGACCCCTTTGTTGTTTCGATTTAGTGGTGTGTGCAAAGGTTACTGAGGGGAGCCATGTGTTGGCTGAGAGGGTATGGAGGAGAAGAGGAGAGATTGTTGCATTATTGAACAGGCGAATGGTACCGTTCACAACTTCATTACTTCTTTCTTATAACTCACGTACGGGATTTTTCTACAACATGTGTTTCAAACAGGGATAACATGTGGAAATCCTGGTCAACCTGCCAATGGTCAAGCTAGAAATACAGGATTTGACTTTAATAAGACTGTAAGATACACTTGTATCACAGGTTATGTGATGAAGAACATACCAAGTGGTGTACTCACAGTGACATGTACAGCAACTGGATCATGGTCTCAACCCAAACCTACATGTCTACGTAAGTCTATTATCAAGAGTACAAAACCAAGGGTATACAACTCGATGCCCCCCAGCCCACAGCGGAATTTTTATGACTTCAGTGTTTCGCAGCCATTAGGCTCAATGATGCCATCATGCATCGCAAGATGAAAGGACAAAGAATTTGTACATCGCAGCTATGGTAGTCAAAGGAGAACAAAGGAGCGCAGATCCATGTGACCTGAACCCAATGACCTCTAATTTGATCTTTTCTTTGATTGCAGCCCGCCAATGTCCCATTCCAGTAACACCAACATCTGGACAGTATTATGTAGAACGGCTAGGACAGCGTCTCTGGATAGGTCCTTTTCAATATGCTGACACTGTTAGATGGGTGTGTGATACAGGATTCACAGGGAATACCGATGCTCTATGTCAGGCAGATAGTACATGGAGCAAGAACACACCAACCTGCACACGTACGTATATAAATACTTTTCTATGTAGTGGAAGTAGGTGTGCAATATGAAACTCAGATGTTTAGTCAATAATGAATTGTGAAAGGAAAGGAACATATGGATACGAGTTAAGTATCTGTCCACCACTGTAACTACAATCGTGGCCAAGGAAATCTGACCTGCGAGTCAAAAGTAGTGCCGCGTTTCCACTTCAATGACATCATGCATGTTCCCAAAACTGATCCGAGGGCCACAGCGGCCGCATGAGCCTTGGCGCTGCTTTCGGCACATGGGTTGGATGTCTTTGGCCATGACTGTAGATATTATATACAGTCAGAAAGAACAACAACTACTAGTAGGCACAAAGCTGACAGAGTACTGAGACATTTGACCACCTGACACCTTCCTCCGACACATCTCCAAAGCGCAAGCCAACAGACTTGAAGGAAAGCGCAACGAAAATGACTACAAGCTAAAAGTCCCAAGCTAACAAAGAATGTTGATTGTTACTGGACGGTGACGAGACCAGTAAGATACTTGACAAAGCGGTCTAACTACAAATCGAAGCAGCAAAGCAGCACACCACCCAACTTGGGGCGGCTCAGAAATATCAAAGATAAGTACAGAAGGGGGAGCTTTGTGAAAACGAATTGCACAAAACCGCGTTGGTCTCCCCTTATCATAAAACCTTCTGAGTTGGAAGGCTGTTGAGTGTTGGTTAGCGCTTCGGAGATGCATATCTAGGAGCTAGGTGTCAGGTCGCCGAATGTCTCAGTACTCTGTCAGTTTTGTACCTAGTTGTTGCACTTTCTGACTGTATATATTATCTAGTTACAGTGGTGGACAGTTACTCTTAACCCATATCCATATGTTCCTTTTCTTTTTCTACTTTAAGTAGCAGCAATATTAACTAAATTATGTTTTAATTTGTCAAGTTGCCTTTAGCCTCGTTCTTCACTGCTAAGAGAGAAAAGAAAACATGATCATGATGATGTATCATAGCCCTTTTTTGATTCCTGGTGGTGGCAGACATTATTTTCTTCAGACGTTTTCCTTTGTAAAACTCTATCAAACTTTAAAATATAGACATATTATTGGTTGACTCTATTGGTACATGGTCTACAGGTAAAAGCTGTCCTGACCCTAGTGCACCTATCAATGGTAACTACACAGTGACTGGGTTGAAGTACGAGGATTCAGTTACGTACACTTGCAGACTTGGCTATGACATGCAAAATCATCCAAATCGTTCTCTTACTGGAGTGTGTATGGCCAATAGGATGTGGTCCAGTACCCAACCCACATGTGAACGTAAGTACAGTACTCCATTATTATCTCGGCAAACTCCAACTATCCAGGTGCTCAATTATCCTGATGGTCTGTGCAAGTGTGGGTTGTATAGGGTGAAATACAAACTATGCAAATCACTGAGTATGTGCAGAGGGTCAAAGGTTTTTGTTTTAATGTACTAAGAGTATAATAAGTATTGCCTCAAGAACACAAAAATCTCCCTCTTCATTTCCACGGTATTTGTTTGCTCTTGATGAAAATATGACATTGCCTATGTATATTGGTCTATGGCATGGCTCATGTTATGGCTGCCAGCATGACTTTATAATTTTGACAAACACATGAATCATTTTGGGACTATGAAAACCGGTGACAACCTCTGCTGAGTCTCTCACTGGCTGAATGTGTATGCCATGTAGAGTCTCTCACTGGCTGAATGTGTATGCCATGTAGAGTCTCTCACTGGCTGAATGTGTATGCCATGTAGAGTCTCTCACTGGCTGAATGTGTATGCCATGTAGAGTCTCTCACTGGCTGAATGTGTATGCCATGTAGAGTCTCTCACTGGCTGAATGTGTATGCCTCTACCTATTGTCATATACAGGAAAACCCTCCTACTGTGAAAGCTATTCTCCCATCCAGAATGGCAACATTAGTTGTTCTGGCCGGCGAATCCATGACATCTGTCAGTATCAATGTAATTATGGATATGTAAAGGAGCGCACTTCTTCCATTCGTTGCATACCGAACACCGAGGTCAATGGTAGATGGTCGGAACGAGGATCATGCAGCCGTAAGTACCCTGTGCATTCTTGAGATAAAGCATTGATGAAATGAAAAGTGAGTTGAGACAAAGAGCACTAAACATGTTGGCCGGGTGATGGGGATTTCCCATATTTCAGGCTTTCACGCGTGTATAGGTGAGTAGTGCAGATAATATAGATCCTCCAAGTCAATCATTGCACGCTGTACACTGGTTTCTGCAAGCACATATGATTGGGATTCACAGATGTCGAAACATGAATGCATTTGCTTTGAAGTACTATCACACTACTATCACACTCATTTCTTTAATCTAGATGTAATGCATTTAATCCTATAGGAAGGAAAGAATTATACCAATAGTATCCATGGTCAGGGCATTGCTTGTCGTATTTCTCATCATTAAAGAACTAGGCTTGTAGCCCCAGGTCCATTTGGAGTGGTTCCCGGCTATGTAGTGCCTGCATGCCTGGTACCAGCCCACATTGCACCAAACTTGGCAGAGTCACTTGGTTCCTGAGAAAGTCACGGGTCAGTCTACCTACACCCCTGCAACCTATCCTATTGGATCGGACTGTGACCACTTATGCTCGCTCGTATGTCACTTGTTCTGCTTGCTCCAGGCTTCTTCCTCCACCTTTGCTTGTTTTATCTGTTCAGTATTTCTTCTGAGTCTCTCTCCTCTTTGCCGTGTCCAATCATAGCAGTATGGGTTGTAGAGACAGAAGCTATTGTAGCAGTATGGGTTGTAGAGACAGAAGCTATTGTAGCAGTATGGGTTGTAGAGACAGAACCTATCGTAGCAGTATGGGTTGTAGAGACAGAAGCTATCGTAGCAGTATGGGTTGTAGAGACAGAAGCTATTGTAGCAGTGTGGGTTGTAGAGACAGAAGCTATCGTAGCAGTATGGGTTGTAGAGACAGAAGCTATCGTAGCAGTATGGGTTGTAGAGACAGAAGCTATCGTAGCAGTATGGGTTGAAGAGACAGAAGCTATCGTAGCAGTATGGGTTGTAGAGACAGAAGCTATCGTAGCAGTATGGGTTGTAGAGACAGAAGCTATTGTAGCAGTATGGGTTGTAGAGACAGAAGCTATCGTAGCAGTATGGGTTGTAGAGACAGAAGCTATTGTAGCAGTATGGGTTGTAGAGACAGAAGCTATCGTAGCAGTATGGGTTGTAGAGACAGAAGCTATCGTAGCAGTATGGGTTGTAGAGACAGAAGCTATCGTAGCAGTATGGGTTGTAGAGACAGAAGCTATCGTAGCAGTATGGGTTGTAGAGACAGAAGCTATCGTAGCAGTATGGGTTGTAGAGACAGAAGCTATCGTAGCAGTATGGGTTGTAGAGACAGAAGCTATCGTAGCAGTATGGGTTGTAGAGACAGAAGCTATCGTAGCAGTATGGGTTGTAGAGACAGAAGCTATTGTAGCAGTATGGGTTGTAGAGACAGAAGCTTTCGTAGCAGTATGGGTTGTAGAGACAGAAGCTATCGTAGCAGTATGGGTTGTAGAGACAGAAGCTATTGTAGCAGTATGGGTTGTAGAGACAGAAGCTATTGTAGCAGTATGGGTTGTAGAGACAGAAGCTATTGTAGCAGTATGGGTTGCAGAGACAGAAGCTATCGTAGCAGTACGGGTTGTAGAGACAGAAGCTATTGTAGCAGTATGGGTTGTAGAGACAGAAGCTATTGTAGCAGTATGGGTTGTAGAGACAGAAGCTATCGTAGCAGTATGGGTTGTAGAGACAGAAGCTATGGTAGCAGTATGGGTTGTAGAGACAGAAGCTATCGTAGCAGTATGGGTTGTAGAGACAGAAGCTATCGTAGCAGTATGGGTTGTAGAGACAGAAGCTATCGTAGCAGTATGGGTTGTAGAGACAGAAGCTATCGTAGCAGTATGGGTTGTAGAGACAGAAGCTATCGTAGCAGTATGGGTTGTAGAGACAGAAGCTATCGTAGCAGTATGGGTTGTAGAGACAGAAGCTATCGTAGCAGTATGGGTTGTAGAGACAGAAGCTATTGTAGCAGTATGGGTTGTAGAGACAGAAGCTATCGTAGCAGTATGGGTTGTAGAGACAGAAGCTATTGTAGCAGTATGGGTTGTAGAGACAGAAGCTATCGTAGCAGTATGGGTTGTAGAGACAGAAGCTATTGTAGCAGTGTGGGTTGTAGAGACAGAAGCTATTGTAGCAGTATGGGTTGTAGAGACAGAAGCTATCGTAGCAGTATGGGTTGTAGAGACAGAAGCTATTGTAGCAGTATGGGTTGTAGAGACAGAAGCTATTGTAGCAGTATGGGTTGTAGAGACAGAAGCTATCGTAGCAGTATGGGTTGTAGAGACAGAAGCTATTGTAGCAGTATGGGTTGTAGAGACAGAAGCTATCGTAGCAGTATGGGTTGTAGAGACAGAAGCTATCGTAGCAGTATGGGTTGTAGAGACAGAAGCTATCGTAGCAGTATGGGTTGTAGAGACAGAAGCTATCGTAGCAGTATGGGTTGTAGAGACAGAAGCTATCGTAGCAGTATGGGTTGTAGAGACAGAAGCTATCGTAGCAGTATGGGTTGTAGAGACAGAAGCTATCGTAGCAGTATGGGTTGTAGAGACAGAAGCTATCGTAGCAGTATGGGTTGTAGAGACAGAAGCTATCGTAGCAGTATGGGTTGTAGAGACAGAAGCTATCGTAGCAGTATGGGTGGTAGAGACAGAAGCTATTGTAGCAGTATGGGTTGTAGAGACAGAAGCTATCGTAGCAGTATGGGTTGTAGAGACAGAAGCTATTGTAGCAGTATGGGTTGTAGAGACAGAAGCTATCGTAGCAGTATGGGTTGTAGAGACAGAAGCTATTGTAGCAGTGTGGGTTGTAGAGACAGAAGCTATTGTAGCAGTATGGGTTGTAGAGACAGAAGCTATCGTAGCAGTATGGGTTGTAGAGACAGAAGCTATTGTAGCAGTATGGGTTGTAGAGACAGAAGCTATTGTAGCAGTATGGGTTGTAGAGACAGAAGCTATCGTAGCAGTATGGGTTGTAGAGACAGAAGCTATTGTAGCAGTATGGGTTGTAGAGACAGAAGCTATCGTAGCAGTATGGGTTGTAGAGACAGAAGCTATCGTAGCAGTATGGGTTGTAGAGACAGAAGCTATCGTAGCAGTATGGGTTGTAGAGACAGAAGCTATCGTAGCAGTATGGGTTGTAGAGACAGAAGCTATCGTAGCAGTATGGGTTGTAGAGACAGAAGCTATCGTAGCAGTATGGGTTGTAGAGACAGAAGCTATTGTAGCAGTATGGGTTGTAGAGACAGAAGCTATCGTAGCAGTATGGGTTGTAGAGACAGAAGCTATCGTAGCAGTATGGGTTGTAGAGACAGAAGCTATCGTAGCAGTATGGGTGGTAGAGACAGAAGCTATTGTAGCAGTATGGGTTGTAGAGACAGAAGCTATCGTAGCAGTATGGGTTGCAGAGACAGAAGCTATCGTAGCAGTATGGGTTGCAGAGACAGAAGCTATTGCATACCCTATGCATGTGCTTTGTTCAGTATGGTGCCGTGGTTGAGGTATGGTGCCGTGGTTGAGGTATGGTGCCGTGGTTGAGGTATGGTGCCGTGGTTGAGGTATGGTGCCGTGGTTGAGCTCTAAAGCGTGACATTCAAGGAGAGGCTCTCAATCGGTCAGTGTCCCGACTAGGTTCTTCAAGACGGTAGCATGCGTTATAGTCTGTCCAACCTTGCCACGTTTCAAAGCAGGACACCCTTATATAATGTATACAAAGGCAATTGTCTCCCATGTAAATGTACACAAATGTGTTGGTCCAAAGTAGGACGGTTGGACAGCCTGGTGTTATGCGATTTGTGTGGGTTGGCAAAAGTGCAGTGTGGCGTGATGGGTGAATACGCCCAAGTCTGCTCTCAAACTTATTTCAAAAGAATACATGTGCCACTATTCTACGTGCCTTGATTCAGCAATCAACCACTACTGTGAGATTACGCAGATCCATGCACCACTCTATGGTCGCATAGAAGCAAACTCCACCCAGCTGAATGACATGGCATACTTCCAATGTGTGGACGGGTATGATATGAATGTCACGGCCGAGCCTGTGAAATGCATAGTGTTGAATCAAACCCATGGTCAATGGTCAGACTACACCACTCCAGAGTGCTTTCGTAAGTCATTATCCAATGAATGTCCACTTCGTCTTGTTTAAAGTCCATTCTTATGTCTTTCTTCAATATTCGGAAGCACCGCTGCAGCCAATAAATCACGTTTTTAAAGTTTCACCACCACCACCGCAGCCGCCGCCGCCACCACCACCACAGCCGTACACTGCAATTTCAGTTGTAATGCTCTCCAATGTTTTTCCCTTGGAAGTTCATCAGGGAGTATTTCAGTGTATTTGTATTTTTTTAATTGTTTTGTAGTATGATCATATTGCCATTACTTGGCTCAAGTCCTTTCACATACAAATATACCATGAACTGTAAACATTAGCAGGGAACTTGGGGAAATGCTGGCCTTTTTTACTTTCCTGGCAGCGTTTTGAGAAAAAGTGAATTCAGTGACTTAACATCCATGCAACGTCAACAGCACTATTGCTACTGACTAACATTTACTAGACACAAATCTGGAATAGTCATGAGATTATTCCCTCTCTCGTGATTGTGGCTGGTCCTAGATTGGTTTGCCATGGATGGGTGTTCTCACTCACAAAGTGACTCGCATGTACACATGTCAATGCTGTGTCTGTTCTAGTTCCGGCATCAATCGCCATTCCACAACAGAATGTTACTGCAAATATCTCCACCCATGTTACTCTAAGATGCCAGGTTGTCGGCACGAATATCACCCTCTCATGGCAGAGTACCGAGAGTAGTGAGCACTCGTGGGACAAGTTAGGCTACCAAATCACCAACAAGAGTAATATACATCACAATACGACAGATTCTCAGCTGGAAATCAGCAGTGTCCGCAGAGCTGATGGCGGTACATACACCTGCAGTGCTTGGAATCCCATTAGCAGAGCACAAAAGAGCATCAGACTCATTGTTCAAGGTAAGGTTGAAACTTTGTAGGGCTGGTACTGAAGCTTGTGATGCAGCGCACAACCTGATTAGTTTGCTACAGTATCCAGTGAGGTCACTACAGTCAGATCTCGTTTAACCGCACACATCCGTTTTCCACAAATATATACGGATAGGCGAGGGAACCGGATAATCGAACACACATACTGTATGTGTGCATGGCATATGCTGTAAATCGGTAACCAGCGATTTTCTTCCGGATGGCGAGGGATCCGGATAAAAGAGGGCCGGGTTAGGGAGGTCTGACTGTACCACTAAACACACACACACACAATACCTGCCTGCTAGATACACACACACACACACAATACCTGCCTGCTAGATACACACACACACAATACCTGCCTGCTAGATACACACACACACACCATACCTGCCTGCTAGATACACACACACACACAATACCTGCCTGCTAGATACACACACACAATACCTGCCTGCTAGATACACACACACACAATACCTGCCTGCTAGATACAATTTCGAGGAACTGCTTCGGTATCTATGCATCTGGGAAAATCAATAACTGTCTTACTCGGCACGCTTTGTGACATTTGCGGCTAGGATAAGAGAACTCTCATATACCAGGTCCCAGGGGTTCCTATTACAGTATGTCAGTATAGTATGGTTTCTAGGCAAACCAAACCCATCATGCACAAGCAACGTATCTCTTCATCAGCCTCATCCAAGCACTATCATTCAATATCCGCCACCGGGATGAATTTATTCGGTATCGCATCGCAGTTTGCTACGCAAAATCGATCTACTACTACTCAAAAATCACAGTGACACGCAGAGAACTGCGATACATACATGTACAGGCTATTCACGTTTTTTGTAGCTTACGCCACAATTGAGATTTTGCATAGGAAAAACTGCTATGCAAAAACATGGCAGTAAATTCATCCCTGCGCCATGTAGTCTATCTCCTGTCTATCTCTTTCCTGTGCTTTCCCCAAGAATATAATATCCCTCCGTATCATGTTGTGACCTACTTGCATCTATAAGTGTTGGAAGCATGGCTGTTACGGTGCTCAACTCACAGACACGTGGATCTGTAGTCAACACAAGAAGAAGCAGAGCTGTGGTATTAGTCTAGTTTGGTGTGCATTTCTTTGGGACATGCGACCCAAGAGCAGTTGTACTTCTGAAGTTGTAACTCGTGGTGTTGGATTATAGTTTTTTGCAACTGCATGGCTCGGTTCAAGTAGTCAGTTCTCCTGTTGAGAACATTACATTGTGCTGTCATAATATTTCTTGTGGTGTGCAGAACCACCCGATGCGCCCAGCAATCTGAGTGCCATGGCTGGCAATTTCTCCCTCGCCATGTCCTGGAAACCTCCAGTGCATACAGGCAACCTCCCAATCACAGACTATACTGTCAATATCAGTGCTCACTGGCCTTTGCAATTAACATTCAGCGAATCCTTCCCTGTGCACGAAATCCAGAAAAGTGAGCACACCAATACCATCATCCTACACAAGAACATAACTGAGCGCATAAAACCGTGGACGAACTATACCATTGCCATGCAGGCTACCAACGGACTGGGAACTGGACCTGCCAGCAACACGTTCTCCATCCGCACAGCAGCAGCAGGTAACCCATGTATAATAATCATACTGACAATTTCATGTATGTACATATATGCCACTACCAACCAAGCAGCCTGTAACCCTGTAATGTGTGGGTGTGGCAGTGTGTGTGTATGGGGGGGGGGGGTGTCGCTTAGCGGCTAACATTGTAAGGTGCGATATTGGTGCTCACTTTTAAGCAACAGAAAACGATACGTGGCTCCTTTTTTCCTATCAGGCAATTGAGCTAGTTATAATCAAGACATGCTTACTTATTACAGCGCATACCAAACGAATAGCACATGTAATACTCTAACTCTGGAAGGGTTGGCTCACTCCGGTTTGGTGTGGCCATGTTCTCTCTGGAATGGTTGGCTCACTCCGGTTTGGTGTGGCCATGTTTTCTCTGGAAGGGTTGGCTCACTCCGGTTTGGTGTGGCCATGTTTTCTCTGGAAGGGTTGGCTCACTCCGGTTTGGTGTGGCCATGTTTTCAGCTCCAAATGCTCGTCCAGGAAACTTTAAGTTTACACCCAGCAACGGATCCGTTGTTCACTTCTCATGGGAGAAGATTCCTGAGCAGGATATCAATGGTCAACTACTTGGTTATGAGATGCAATACAGACTGGTGACAGGAGACATTCGAAAGAAGAGGAACGTGGACTGCTCTGGTGAATGTGACTGGACAACAATCCAACTGGCAGCGAATGTAAGCCGCTACACCGTCACTGGCCTGAAGAGTGCCCGGAAGTACACGTTTAGGATCCGAGCCAGAACACCAATCCCTGGCCCATTTGCAAATGTTACTGTTGATACACCGTCGTCAGGTTGGTAGATTCCATGGCACGCTGCTTAAAATAGCCTGAAATGCATGAGCAACTCTTCAGTTTAAACCGTGTTAAGCTAGTACCACCTGAAGTGGCCTTAGCAGTTTATCTGCTCTGGAGTCTTGTCACTGCTTCTGGACGGACTGCTGAGCAGACAGCCTGGGAGTGTACTTACACAGACGTGTTCTCTGAATGTGATTTCCTCCTTTGTGGTCACCACTCACAATGAGCCAAGCATTAGTTTACACTGGAAGCTGCTGTCATTATACCTGTTAAACCAGGTTGCATCCACCAATAAACTAAATTATGTATGCTGATATCTACATTTTGGCAAACTCAATATCAGGTCTGATTCTCCTAATTTGCTATTTATTTGTTGAACGGAAATGCTGCTAACTCCTACAACTCTTGGAAGATGAACAGCAAGTGAAGTTCAACATTGGTAAAACATAGACTGAGTCAAAGAAAGGAACAAATAGTGTAGTGGAAGGCGTTTTGTAGACCTGTCAATTCAGTACAGGAGGTTGTGGGTACAGTACCGCAAAGTTCTATGCATAGTGCATTCCATATGCAGAGCAGCATACCTAAATGTACTAACATGCAACAGGGTAGTAATGGTTATGAAACTTTAATAGGTGTATTTATACTAAGACAGTACAATACTCACTATTCGTATTTCCTGCTCTTTCACAATAGCAATGAGATCCCATCAAGTAGAGAAGAGCGCATGCTCCAGTGGATCTCTATTCGTTCTTGTCTTCTTCTCACTCCTGTCTACTCCGCTCTTGTCTAAATACTTCTTCCATATCCAGTATGATAACACCCCTGTGTTCTGCGAGTGTGAGGGGACTGCGTTTAGCCGGGAGCTAACGGTGGGATTCGAACACACGTCTCCGGAAAGACTGGAGTAATACCAGACATCCTCACAACACTCTCCAAGCGGTCTCTGGGCCACGCCAAGCACTTTTACAAAAAATAATAAGATTATCCAAATGTCCGGGCAAGGCCCATCTACAGCATACTTGCCAACCATACCGATTGTGCCGGTATTGTACCGGGAAACTACGGTCACTACCGGCATACCGGGGATTTTTGACTTTGATCGGAAAAAACTACCGGTATTGGCACTGAACCATGAGTGTTCAAAAAAGGTTGTTTTGTGGTGTGCCAAGGGCGCATGCGGGCCTGCATTTCACAGTATCACACATGTAGGGGCGATCTGAAACTCAGGTTTTGGTTCCCCAATGAGAAATGGGCTGGAAATGAAAAAAGAAAGAAAAAATTGGCAAAGAAATGCGGAAAAATACGCAAAATAATCAAAAATCGCCCCAAAAAAGGCCAAAATTGGCGAAAACCAGGAAATAAGGGAAATGAGAGAACAATAAGGGAAACTGGGTGTGTGACTAGAGGATTTGCTTTGGCTGGGTTGGCAAGTATGCTACAGGAGTGCAGTGACTGCATTCCAGAAGATGGGCCTTGCCCAAAAGTTCTTTGAAAAAGTGATTGGTGTAGTCCAGAGACAGCTTGGAGAGTGCTGCGAGGATGTATGGTTATAACGGATGGCTACAGCGGAGTCTACGCATATTGAGAGATTATGATACCAATGCAGATTTACTCACAGCTGTTTCCCCAATTCCATCACCTTGTGTATTGTTCAGCACCGCCTCCGTATGTCATCAAGCACAAAGAGGACTTCCCACCCACAACAACTCAACTTACGTTCAGATATAGAGGTATCGCCAGTGACCAGAATGGACGAATCACTGGCTACAGAGTACTTGTGGTTGACCAGGGCGCTATCAAAAGACCTGACCTGCAAACACGACCAGAAACCGTGGATTTTGCCACAAACAAGGACTATTCACTGAAATCTACAACTCCAATGTATGTTCTGTGGCGTGCGGTCACACCTCAGCCAACTGAAGATATAGTTCAAGACATAGTTCTGAGCTCCCAGCAGGGTACTAACTACTTCCCTTTAGTACGTGGACACTACTACACCATAGCTGTCCGGGCTTACACTACGGTAAGACTGAGATATCATGCACTGGAGCTGTGTATGCCCTAGCTTGTTATGCATGGTTCTGCTCTGTGATGTGTTTGAGTCAAATGCCTTTTGTAAAATGTAGCTAAAGTGAACTTGATGCCCATGGTTCAAGTCTGCTGACCAGCATGTATTCTTGAGACATTTCCCTTCAGGGAACGTCTGGGTTATCAATTGTTTTTCGAGAATGAGCAGATTTCTATTGTTCAGCCTACCCATCCACCCTGTCTGCAGCCTTGGTGATATGAAATTCAGCAAGCAATTGATCTCAACCTTTAGAATGCCGCAGTTTTACTTGGACGTTTGTTGCCTTCAATAACTATTCATGAAACAAAACTCCCCATCCACCCAGCTTCAAAGGCTAACCTTTAGACTTCAAAAACAACCGATAGGTAACCTTGTACGGCCCCTCAAAGCTGACTCAACTGATACCAATAGCAAGCTAGACAATATTGGTCTGAGGGAAACGTTGAGCAAAATCTCAGTGCTCGGATGATTTCTGCTTTGCAGATTAATAGTAGAGCCTGCCATTCGAAGATGCCGAGACCTCTGGTCAGTTGAGCATGGCAGGTCCCACCAGCACCATCTCACCCCATGTTAGCCCCATGCTAGCCCCATGCTAGCCCCATGCTAGCCCCATGTTAGCCCCATGCTAGCCCCATGCTAGCCCCATGTGCCTGCCGGTGACTTGTGTATCTTGTAAAAAAAATTAAAGAAGAGCATCGCTGGCCTATGGCAAAGGTGGTTTGAGTTACGGTGGTGGCAGCCAACAGTTGTCAGACTCTTTCTCTTTTCACCTCTCTGAAACTAATGCATTTCCTTCTGATTACATTTGTGGTATATTTAGAAGGAGCTCTTCACTCAGTCCAACTATCTTGAGCCCCAGACACGTAAGTTAGGGTTTTATATTTAGCCTGTGCTTTGTGGCCTAATTTGTTATCTGTGATAATTTCAGAAAACGATTTCACAGATGCTACTTGTCCCACCTGAATCAATGCACTCGGCTACCAGTTGTGTGCGCGTGTGTTTTTATGTAGAGAAATACCAGAGGTTACTAACTTTGTAGGTTTGTCAGTGTCGCCTAGTCTTTTAATGCCGCATTGAAAGTTTCATGATAATCTTGGACAAGAAGACAATGCTGTACGATCTGTGGGCAAGGCGTGCTCAATTCCAATTTTTGATCTCCAAAGACGAGTTTCAAACCCATCCACACTAATGCCATGAAGATATGGATTCCAATATACAATACTCAGAAATATTTTTGTTGGAATCAATTTTTTGTGAATTGTGTATCAAGCCTCGATAGGGATGGTATCATGGTCGGAGTTCCGAATTGTACATAGTTGAAAGGTTCTGCTGTGCATAGCTAGTGACTCTGCTAGTGTTTAATTTGGTATTGTTTTTGAAATTGCTGGCAAGCGCAATCACGATTGAAAATTGTTGCTGGCTTGATATTATTATTCGTCTTGCAACGCTAGCCTCTTTTAGTGTTCCTCTAATCTTATAAATAGCACTGATGAAAACTATTATGAACCTCCAGCATAGCAGAGTAATCATGCAATTACCAATACACATAAGACGAAATAGCTCCAGGTATGTGACGGTCCGGTACATGACGTTCCAGTACATGACATTCTGGTATATGACTTCTGGTACATGATGTTCTAGTAAATCCCTATGGGATACTCATATGAACTCGGATAGAGAGCCAAGGATTATTTATAAAAAGTAAAAAGGACCAAGGAACTACTAGATACATTATAATGTCCACTAACACCACCAGTTACTAAACAATCAGCTCATGCGATAACATTGCACGACACTGACCGACGGTACTGACGTTCTACAACAAACTGGCTAACAGCTCTAGCACATCTTGGATGCGCACTCCAACAGCCTTTCAACTTGGAAGATTCTAAGTTATAGAAATAACATAAGGAGGGGAAGGTGAGCGCAACCAAGATAAGCATGAGCTAAAAGTCTCAGCTGTGAAAGACATTGGAGGATGTTCATGCATGTCGATGTCGGATGACGATACTGGCAAGACCATTGGACAATACGGTCAAACCACGATTCAATGACGCAAAGCGACAATGCACACAACTTGTGTGGCTCAAAGCCTTCCAAGTTGGAAGGCTGTTGGAGTGCGCATTCAAGATGTGCTAGAGCTGTTAGCCAGTTAGTTGTAGAACGTCAGTACCGTCGGTCAGTGTCGTGCAATGTTATCGCATGAGCTGATTGTTTAGTAACTGGTGGTGCTAGTGGACATTATAGTGTAACTTGTAGTTCCTTGGTCCTTTTTTCCTTTTATGGATACTCGTATCCTGTTTTATTCTCACCAACATGCAGTTGCCGCGCTGCCAGAGGAGAAAAAGTTCAATGTTCTTATCATTGTTATCGTCATCCTGCTGATACTGCTTCTGGCGGCTCTTGTGACTCTTCTGATCATTGCTTGGAGGAGGTGAGTAGGGAACTGCGACAGCAAGTTTCACATAGAATACTGGAATACTCAGGACTGTGGCAGAAAAGGAAGTCAAACACTTCACGATCATCTCTTGTGAACTTCTGTATCCATACTAAGCAGCGCTCAGTCTATATACGTATCCTCTACTGAGTACAGCAGAATCATTCACAATAGAGGAAGCCCATTTCAAGAGACGCATGTTATGTGTATGTGCGGCCATGCGGGCATGTGTGCATGTGTGTGTGTGTGTGTGTGTGTGTGTGTGTGTGTGTGTGTGTGTGTGTGTGTGTGTTTGCATGTGTTTGTATGTACGTGCCGCGTATACACATGCACGTGTGTGTATGTATGTTGGTGGGTGGGTGGGTGGGTCTGCATTTGTGTGTAAGTTATGTTTGGTCTGTAGTTAAACTGAATGTGGGTATAATAATAACAGTGCGATTGGGTAGACAGTTAGGCTATTGGATATTCCACATTTGGTTAGTCTGCATATGCGGTATGTCCTGAACTACAGGCGCCAAGCAAAGAAGAGCGTTGACATTGGCCGACTTGTAAGTGTATATTTGTTGTAGTCCTCTTTTTATGGAACTGCTTCAGCTTTTTTATTGTGTGCATTCACAACTACAATGTGCCTGCGCTACAAAGATGAGGCTGACAGGAATTCTAGAAGGTGTTGTTTGACATACTTCGAAAGTAGGTACCAAGCATAGCAAGCTCTCAGGTTTTCCCTGATGTGTACTACATGTACATGCTTACAGTGATATGTGGCCAGAGTCTGAGTAATAACTACACTGAGGTGTTTCTCAGATAGCACCTGGGAAATTTTAACGGGCTCTCAAACTACCAGATTCCTAGCTGGTGTATATATCAGCAAGACCATTGCACAATAGGATTATCTCCTTGTGTAACCATTTAACAACCATCGCGTGAGTAGACCTAAACTAGCACCCGGATGATCACAACCTATGGCGCTGCAACATGATACTGTGTCTCAGAAGGATTTAACCAGCGTGCTGAGAGTACTCTGATGCCTCGAGGCAGAGCGGTGTAGACCACAGTACAATAGTGGAGCAAGGTCACAGGATCATATCCTCTAGACCACGCCACCAGCAAGTCGCACACTCCGTGCCAATAGGATAATCCTGAACCTGGCAAAGTCTCACATGCATGTGAACAGTTTTTACCCACTGTGCTTTATTTCAGCGCAATACACATTACCAACTGTCCCCGAAATTATAGCATCACACCCAATTGAGACCACTAGCACCTCAGCCGCATGATCCCCCTTTTCCCTTGTATATAATGTTATACTGACATGGGCTACATCATAAACATGTTGCCTGACAATTGCATTGAGTCTGAAGCTCCGAGTTGCAACAACTGATCAGCCTTGCCCCACCTTGTACTGTGTAATACTATGTCTCCAAGGTGTCCCTGTTCCCGGTTCCCTGTTTAGACTCCATCAGAGACTACAGGTAGAGACATAATGAAGAAATCGTAACAATGCTAGCCAAGCAGATCTAGGTTTTGGTAATAGGAAACCTTTTGACCCTAGCCAGTGAAGAGCAGCTCAAGCTACTATGACAGCCATAGATCCACATGCCTTGATGCACTACTCCACTTGTTCTCCTATGCCTTGTATCTAGCCCCCTCCATGGATGCAGGCTGAAGGACCACCAGGTATTGGAGGCGCTGGTAATGAAAATGCTCCCGCACCTGCACCTGGTGCATTTGAGTTGCAGAATCTCCGAACTCCTGCAGGTAATGTGTGCTCTCCTCTATCCTGTGATGCATTCACTTCCAGCAGAATTCACACATGTTATTTGCCAGCTAACTAGCATCTGTCCATCACATGCCACCGTGTGTCCATCCCATGCCACCGTGTGTCCATCCCATGCCACCGTGTGTCCATCCCATGCCACCGTGTGTCCATCCCATGCCACCGTGTGTCCATCCCATGCCACCGTGTGTCCATCCCATGCCACCATGTGTCCATCCCATGCCTCCTTGTGTCCATCCCATGCCACCGTGTGTCCATCCCATGCCACCGTGTGTCCATCCCATGCCACTGTGTGTCCATCCCATGCCACCGTGTGTCCATCCCATGCCACCGTGTGTCCATCCCATGCCACCGTGTGTCCATCCCATGCCACCGTGTGTCCATCCCATGCCACCGTGTGTCCATCCCATGCCTCCTTGTGTCCATCCCATGCCACCGTGTGTCCATCCCATGCCACCGTGTGTCCATCCCATGCCACCGTGTGTCCATCCCATGCCACCGTGTGTCCATCCCATGCCACCGTGTGTCCATCCCATGCCACCGTGTGTCCATCCCATGCCACCATGTGTCCATCCCATGCCTCCTTGTGTCCATCCCATGCCACCGTGTGTCCATCCCATGCCACCGTGTGTCCATCCCATGCCACCGTGTGTCCATCCCATGCCACCGTGTGTCCATCCCATGCCACCGTGTGTCCATCACATGCCACCGTGTGTCCATCCCATGCCACCGTGTGTACATCCCATGCCACCGTGTGTCCATCCCATGCCTCCTTGTGTCCATCCCATGCCACCGTGTGTCCATCCCATGCCACCGTGTGTCCATCCCATGCCACCGTGTGTCCATCCCATGCCACCGTGTGTCCATCCCATGCCACCGTGTGTCCATCCCATACCACCGTGTGTCCATCCCATGCCACCGTGTGTCCATCCCATGCCACCGTGTGTCCATCCCATGCCACCGTGTGTTCATTACACACTGTATTACAGTACAATGCTAGGCTTTGTGACATTTCTCCACATGATGCAGGACAACCTGAGTGTTCTGCTCCTTATGCACCTTTCAAACTAACAAGGCTGATGCTAGCATATCATATGGTATGGGTGATATTCATATGGGTATAGAACAGTGCTCTCCAATGTCATCAAGGCACAACATGAAACCTTTTATAAATGCATGCAGGCGGCTCCTTATGTTTTCCATTGCCCTCTGTGTTGTCGCCATTGGGCGGTGCAGGACAACGCAATCCTGTTCCCAGGGATGCGTTTGAGATGTACACTGTGGAGATGGGACGCAATGACGACATGCAGTATTCCCAAGAGTACAAGGTCAGACACTTTTAAATGAGATATCAAATGAATAAGATGCGAAATGTTCTGTTGACCAGATTTAGCCCAAGTACCCGTGCATGCTAGTACTGAAGTACCTGAGTGTGTAGTACATTCTAGGAAAAACTTCTACAGGTATTCCCAATAATTATGATACTCGGATGTTGAGCCGATATTAAATGTAGAAAGGAAAAGGACCTATGGAACCTTCCGAGTTGGAAGGCTGTTGGTTAGCGCTACGGAGATGTGTTGAAGCTAGGTGTCAGGTCATCGAATGTTTCAGTACTCTGTCAATTGTGTGCCTAGTTGTTGCACTTTCTGACTGTATAGTATCTAGTTACAGCGGTGGACAGTTACTCTTAGCTCGTATCCATATGTCTTATTCCCAATATATCCTTTTTGTTATCTCTCACTCTCAGCTCTCATTGTGTCGCACTAACGTTGGCATTTCTGTACTTCACTGCATTTGAATATGTCTTTTGGATGGGCTCTGCAATTGTTTAGCTCTGGGCAGTGAACTAGCCCTGGAGACATAGGACAAGTACTCGAATGTTCACTGCACCGAATGTGCACATGCATGCAGATCTAAGCACACACACACACCTGAAACTGACATACCTGCTGGAGTTTGCTAGGCCCTAATGAAAGTTCCGACAGCCACATGTATGCACAGTGTACTGCAAATGAATCCATGGTCACAGGAAACAGGGAGGGGCTGATTTAATATGTACTTGTATGGCTTATGACAAGGGGAACTGCAAATTTAGGCTAGAACATGGTGTTTCTGACATCTCCTTTCTGTGCCAGCTCATTCAAGAAACCCTCTCTCCAAAGCATCCAGCCACTGTTGGAACCAGGCAGGTCAATGCTATCAAGAACCGGTACTCCAACATCAAAGCCTGTAAGGTTGCAGCACAACACCAATGCGTGATGCCCCCCCCCCCCCTTATTGATGTCAGGTTGCAACGCTAACGCCGAGACCTCTGGTCGGTTGAGTTGCTCCCTGTACATCGGCATGTCGTCCCTACATCCCCTGTGTCTTGTTTTTTGTTTGTCTCCACATGTCTCTTGGTAGGGCTGTGTTGCCAGTAAAAATGCCGAGCTGTTGAATTTCTGGGCTTTCTCCTCATTTCAATAGCACTGGACAATATAACATCAGGAGAATAGCCAGGATAATGATCAAGGGGTACCATAATTTCTCAGCAGTTGTACATTCAAGTGCTTCAGCCCTTTCATACACACGCTATGCCATGTTGCTATCCGCGAAAATGCCTAGGTTTGTCGTTGATCCGAGAGAAGTACAAGCAAGGAAAATGAAAGAAGCAGAAGCAGCCATCAAAGTTGACACTGAAAATCAACTAGGAAAGATAACCTTGCAACTAGTGATGGTGGCCAACTCCTGCATGCTCTGCTTTCTCTGAAATTATCACGCACTCCACCACACTGAAATCGATTTGTGTTGTGTGCCAGCCTGCCAGCAACACTCTGCTTACCACCAATCTGCTACTTGTGTTCTTCACTCCATACTTACAGACGACCATACACGTGTGCAACTGTCTCTGGTTGACGGTGATGAGAGCACTGACTACATTAATGCCAACTACCTACCGGTATAGTGATGATGTCCATGTTACAGCAGCAGCCTACCCCATTAACACTATAGTACTGTCGGTCGCCGAAGAACTGGGGGTCAGCCTCCTAGCCTAGACCGTTCTTATTTGCATGTATTGCAGTCTATGTGCAGTTGAGTCATCATGTACACATTGGTATGCTGTGCTTGATGAAATTCTAGCCTGGTCGTTCTTCGGCGCTCGTTCTTCAGTGCCCGACAGTGCTGTACTCAGCATTCAAACAGCCACTTGTGATGCTATGCCTTTTAAACATTTCAGACAATCCGGCTGTGTGAAACTCCTGCTATACCAATGACAGCGGAGTAATATGATGCCTTTTTTGCGCTAATAGCTGTGATCAAAGCATTGCCGTCACACTTAAACGTTGAATGAGACTTTTCCCATGGTTTCACCGAAAATGACCAGTTGACTTCCTCAAAGCATTTCAACTAGTAAACTGTGCAACAGTCAGAATGCTTGTGGCTGTCAGAAGGTGTATGTATGGTGAGGGTTGTAGAGTGGTAAGGCTTGGACCTGGAACGTTCAAAGCACTGAGTGGTTGACCAGGCATGTCCTATTCCTGTGCTTCATTATTCTGTAGGGATTCAGTGGAGATCAGGAGTACATAGCAGCCCAAGGTAAGTAATTGTTCTCAGGATTGGTGAATTTTAGCAGGCTTATGCAGTTTATAAGCCAATGAAATTTGCTCACTTTATGCCTCAATTTTGGGAACTCGTGGCCTGGCATGAGGGTAACATGGATGTACTTAATGGAATTTTCGGTCTTTGACCACTTTGTGGTTGGTCTGATCTACTCACCTCCCACCGTTTAGGCGCTGCATCTGCGCCTTGATCCTAGAGGGTGGTGGCGTTCCTACGGATGCGGAAAACTCGGCAAACCGTGAATTTTTTTGGCGTGTTGTGTCTTGTTCCAGTGCCCACAAGTGGGCACTTGTCCCTTAGCGGTACATTAGGCCGCTGAGGATATTTATTGCAATGGACCAGGGTGTTTCCAGGATTGCGTACAGCCTCGCAGAAGATCCTCAGCAGTCCTTCAGATGAGGTATACTGTAAAGCGATAAACTTTCGCGACGCGCAAACGTTTGCGTTTTCAAGAATTGGGCTGGTTCACGATGAGAAACTTTGGCGACTTTATCTCTTCATTTGGATCTGTTACAGTCCACAATCAATGTGCAGAGCAGTTTGCGGCAATTTATATCCATGAATGTTTGATGGTCGCGAAAATAGTGAAATTTAATCTCTAGTGAAAGTTTCTCACTTTACGGTAATAGCTATGTGAAGAGCTGTCTTGGCTACTGCCTCTGACATGTTGATCCTCCAGCGCAGCGGATTAGAGGGGGAAGTGAGCCCCATGGACTCTGACCATGCGAGCCATGAAACTTTTTGTTTTACTGCATCTTGTAGGCCAGTGTCTGTATGTCTGCATATATTCATGTGTCCTGTTAGTGTTGAAGGAGTGTCAGGTGATACTGAGTCTGTGCGTATGTGTCTACATGTCTGGCTCTTTGTTTGACTTTCTTTTGATCTGTCGCATAGTATCTGTTTGTCTGCATCCATTTTTGTATGTCGTAAGTTTGTTCGTGACTGTAGTCTTTGAAACGACTGTCTATCTGCCTGTCCGGCCCTTCCTGTCCCTCCTGTGCTGGCTGATAGGACCTGTGGTCGGTACTGTACCTGACTTTTGGAGAATGGTCTGGGAGAGGGGAACACGTGTTATTGCCATGGTCACTAACTGTGTGGAGAAGACTCGTGTAAGTAAAAATCTCCACTTTGGATATTGATGTACATATGTGATGTACATACAGTTATGTGATGTACATAAATTTATGTGATGTACATAAATTTATGTGATGTACATATCTGATGTACACGTAAGGGTACCTCCACTCAAAACACTCGAAACACGGCCCAGAGTCTCTGGAGACAATGTTTTGAGTGTTTGAGTGGAGGCACCATAATGTGTAAATGGCTGCAAATACTTAGAAAAGATGTACATATTTTTAATGTTACTACCTCTGAAGTACAAGTTTAAGATGTGTGATCGACCGAACGACATTCAACGTTCATGGTTCATCACTTGTCCCCCTGATCTCGTTTTCTTCTCCTTTTCTGTCCATAACTACCTTCCCACCTAGTTGTTTTAAATTTAACAAAACCTGCTGTGAATTGCTGGTTCGGCTCGTTCTGTTGATCGCACTTCTTCAACTATTGTGGCCTCGCTAGCCTCGCTAGCCTCGCTACCTGTTCAAACTATTAGTAGTGAATATATTGCAACCTGGAGAGATAGCCATGCGTGTGTCCACGTATGTATATGTACATGCATGCATGCAGGCTTTGGATAACCACCACTCTCCACATTCTCTTTGGATAGCCACCACTCCCCACATTCTCTTTGGATAGCCACCACACTCCACATTCTCTTTGGATAGGCACCACTCTCCACATTCTCCTTGGATAGCCACCACTCTCCACATTCTCTTTGGATAGGCACCACTGTCCACATTCTCTTTGGATAGGCGCCACTGTCTACATTCTCTTTGGATAGGCACCACTGTCCGCATTCTCTTTGGATAGCCACCACTGTCCACATTCTCTTTGGATAGCCACCACTCTCCACATTCTCTTTGGATAGCCACCACTCTCCACATTCTCTTTGGATAGGCACCACTCTCCACATTCTCTTTGGATAGCCACCACTCTCCACATTCTCTTTGGATAGCCACCACTCTCCACATTCTCTTTGGATAGCCACCACTCTCCACATTCTCTTTGGATAGCCACCACACTCCACATTCTCTTTGGATAGGCACCACTGTCCGCATTCTCTTTGGCTAGCCACCACTCTCCACATTCTCTTTGGATAGCCACCACTCCCCACATTCTCTTTGGAGAAGCCACCACTCTCCACATTCTCTTTGGATAGCCACCAGTCTCCACATTCTTTTTGGATAGCCACCACTCTCCACATTCTCTTTGGATAGCCACCACTCTCCACATTCTCTTTGGATAGGCACCACTGTCCACATTCTCTTTGGATAGGCACCACTCTCCACATTCTCTTTGGATAGGCACCACTGTCCACATTCTCTTTGGATAGCCACCACTGTCCGCATTCTCTTTGGATAGCCACCACTCTCCACATTCTCTTTGGATAGCCACCACTCTCCACATTCTCTTTGGATAGGCACCACTGTCCACATTCTCTTTGGATAGGCACCACTGTCTACATTCTCTTTGGATAGGCACCACTGTTCACATTCTCTTTGGATAGGCACCACTGTCCACATTCTCTTTGGATAGCCACCACTCTCCACATTCTCTTTGGATAGCCACCACTCTCCACATTCTCTTTGGATAGGCACCACTCTCCACATTCTCTTTGGATAGCCACCACTCTCCACATTCTCTTTGGATAGCCACCACTCTCCACATTCTCTTTGGATAGCCACCACTCTCCACATTCTCTTTGGATAGCCACCACTGTCCACATTCTCTTTGGATAGGCACCACTGTCCACATTCTCTTTGGATAGGCACCACTGTCCACATTCTCTTTGGATAGGCACCACTGTCCACATTCTCTTTGGATAGGCACCACTCTCCACATTCTCTTTGGATAGGCACCACTCTCCACATTCTCTTTGGATAGCCACCACTCTCCACATTCTCTTTGGATAGGCACCACTGTTCACATTCTCTTTGGATAGGCACCACTCTCCACATTCTCTTTGGATAGGCACCACTGTCCACATTCTCTTTGGATAGCCACCACTGTCCACATTCTCTTTGGATAGCCACCACTCTCCACATTCTCTTTGGATAGCCACCACTGTCCACATTCTCTTTGGATAGCCACCACTCTCCACATTCTCTTTGGATAGGCACCACTCTCCACATTCTCTTTGGATAGCCACCACTCTCCACATTCTCTTTGGATAGGCACCACTGTCCACATTCTCTTTGGATAGGCACCACTCTCCACATTCTCTTTGGATAGCCACCACTGTCCACATTCTCTTTGGATAGGCACCACTGTCCGCATTCTCTTTGGATAGCCACCACTCTCCACATTCTCTTTGGATAGCCACCACTCTCCACATTCTCTTTGGATAGGCACCACTCTCCACATTCTCTTTGGATAGGCACCACTCTCCACATTCTCTTTGGATAGGCACCACTGTCCACATTCTCTTTGGATAGCCACCACACTCCACATTCTCTTTGGATAGCCACCACTCTCCACATTCTCTTTGGATAGGCACCACTGTCCACATTCTCTTTGGATAGCCACCACTCTCCACATTCTCTTTGGATAGCCACCACTCCCCACATTCTCTTTGGATAGCCACCACTCTCCACATTCTCGCGAACTGAACAGTGTGTTAGTGTATATTATGTAATTGTTGGAAATCAAAATACTTTCCAGGTTGGTTGTGTTGTGCGCCTGATGATTGCATCACAACTGCACTCTGATCACTAGTAACATCTAGGTGAAGCATCGGAGTCGTTTCCTGTGAACCTATTGCACATCCTTGAAACTCTGATATGAGCCGAGCCAAGCAAAAAGGTGGCTTAGGCATAATTTTTGGAATTTTCTTTTTTCATGCCAAAGTGATGTCTACCTATCCAACTTCCATCATGGAAATTTTGGTGCCCATCTGAAATGTATATGTGCCATAAATAAGCATACATTGCGCACATGTCACAGCATGCCTGGTATCAATGACACTAAGGATTTGAAGACCTGCCCAAACTCCAAAAAACATGGGACACCAAGTGGAGACAAAGCTTAACAGGTGTGGAAGCAATACAAGAAGGACGAGCACTTGTGTTCTAATTAGAAGATCCAAGAAATAAGAAATAATTGATCTATGTATCTCATCTCATTTCGTCACGCAACACGAATTTCCATATCCTTCATGTTGGGCATGAGTCTGTGACTATTTCGCTGGGCTGGTAAACGTCACATCTTACCAAGACAGTCCGTCTTACTCTCTCCAGTCACCTACGCCAGCATGAACGAAATAAATCCCTTCACGTAGCTCGTAGTATTGTTCCAGATATCGATTGAGCTCCATTGGTCCCTTGCACGTAGGTCCAGCAGACTGCACATCGCTAAAAAGCGGCACTGATTCTTTGTCCGTGCTAGTCCATGTCACTCTCCTTCCCTGGTGTAGGTAGTGGTAGAAGGCACCACGGGACGATATGCTAGCAGGTAGAGTCAATGCATCGCTTCGTCGTGTGGCACTATTGGCCTTGAAATGAGGAGATTTTGGAATACAGTACGCCACGTCATGAACATTTGAAGGTAGCCGAAACAAAGTGAAACATCGCTGCAAGAGCCAACTCACTAGGCAGCTTGTCAGAATATAGTCGCAGCTTGTCAGAACAATAGTCGGACGGCTTGTATGCGTCTCCCCATAGCTATACTAGCCGCTCTCGTCATGGCCACGATGAGAAACACGGCCACTATGAATGAGCGAGTCTTCCTCGTCAAGGAGGGTTGGGCGCACAGGGAGATAGAGTGTCGTCCTGCTCACCTCCACATTCTCCAGAACTCTCCATTACGATCTCTGGCAGCGCCGCGAAATCACCACAACGATGAAAGAGGTAACACTGAAGAAGTGTTGCTCAAAAAAAGAAAGGCCTCTTTCTTCTTCTCGACTGGCAAACTATTTACTTGAAAGGCCGCTCGAAAGTGAATTTTTCGCGACTGCGCTCGAGTAGATTTTTGCCGACTGTGACGTTTTGGTGATTTTCTCGATTTGTTGGCAAAACGCTAAGCCACTTTTTAGCTTGGCGCGGCTCATATAATATATTTATATTAAATTACGCTGGACGGTCTCTGCTGGGATGACAGCTGCACCATAGCTCAGTGGTTAGCGCATCGCTGACCTCAAGCGAAGGTCCCTCGTTCGATTTATTGTGGTGACAGTCAATTTTCTCTTCAGGCTTTTCTCTTTTCCATTCCCTCAACCAATGAGTATATGTTATGCTGTGATTGTTGAACACGTAGGACAAGTGTGCCCGGTATTGGCCTGAGCAGGCGGAAGGCGCTCTACAAAGTGGCAAGATCACCATCACTCCAGTTGATACTACAACTCTGGCGGACTTTTCCATCCGTAACCTTGATGTGTCGATGGTCAGTAGTGTGATGCATTGTTTGTTTGTGCAACTAGTATTGACATGGTGGCAGGTCCACGGGATGGAGGTTGACTGCTCAAGGTGGTGGTTTGCCTTCATTTTCAGAAGAAGTGATACGAGTGTACAGATAAAAGTTACCGGCTGTTTGGGGATAACCAACCATGTTTGCTATCCCTACATCAGTCATTGTTTAAGGACATACAACAGTTCTATGCGACAATTTCTTGGCAAGTATTCAAACACTTCTACTGGCAAAATGGTCAGAATGGCACCGCCCTTGGTAGGAATGTTATACAGGGAAAGACTGTATCATTTCACTTGATGAAGTCACTTCACTTATATTTTCATGTAGTGAAAGTGAAATACATTGTCTATGACGATGAGGACAACGACGGCAGCAGCAGTATACCCACAACAATAACCTGACAACAATAACCTGGAAGAAAGAAAATATCTGCTCTTACCTAGGTCACCACTACATCCACTACATTTACAAAGATGGGGAATTTTAGAGTGGCATTAATTCTTGTTGATTTCCTCCAAGTCCCATGAATGGTGAGCGCATGCTGCCATACTGCCATACTCCTACTTATCTTGCTTACCTGCATGTTGGCAACTTGCTGCAATGTCATGACACTTGTTACCTTATTCCTTTCAGAAAGGTGAAGAGCGACGGCGTATTCAACATTTCCACTTCACGACGTGGCCCGATCATGGTGTGCCTGCTCAGTGTGCTCCACTGCTGACGTTTATCAGGCGGATGCGTTCGGCCAATCCGGTGGACGCTGGTCCAATTGTCGTTCACTGCAGGTCAGAAAGAAGTTCTAGCCTGTTGAACTAGACAAGCTACTGGAATCCCTTTGTGTGTGTGTGCACGTGTGTGTATGTGTGTCTGTGTGTATGTGTGAGTGTGTCTGTGTGTACGTACGTGCGTGTGTGTGCGTGTGTGTGTGTGTGTGTGTGTGTGTGTGTGCAGGGGGAGGGGGGGAGGAGAGTAGTACGTGAAATGGCCTTCCCACCATCTCTGCACCAACAGTGTCGAGGCACCTGTTGCACTGGAGAAGGAAGACTGCAGTGAACTGATGAATGTCATTGAATCGGTGCAGCACATGTCATTGAAGCGGTGCAGCACATGTCATTGAATCGGTGCAGCACATCACAAAGCATACTGTTTTACTGTATGTCTATTCGCCGT